TGGAGAATTTGTAGTTTTTAATGTGCATTTTTGCCACTTGTCCCCAGATAGGACAAGCATAGAGAAGGGCTGGTCTGAGTATCATTTTGTATAGTATAATTTTTGTTGGGTATTGAGAGTACACTGTGTCTGCCTAAGAGTGGTCGCATAGTGGCCGCTGTCATTTAAAATTTTTCTGTGACGGCCCCGAAGTGTCGCCTAAAGGTAAGTTTACTATCCAGAGTGATCCCAAGGTATTTCACCTCGGGGACTCATTCAATATCATCATCAAAAATTTGGGAGGTGCTGGGGTGTAATTGGAGGTACCTTTACGAAAGATGATTGCTTTTGATTTATTAGTATTTGATGGCAATTCTCCAAAGTGTGAACCAGTGCTCGAGTGCTAATGAGATAATGCTGTAATTGAAGTCGAATGTGATTTGTATGTATTGCCCTCGTGAGAATGGCCGTATCGTCAGCAAAGAGTGCCAGTGTAATAGTGGCATCTTTGGGTATGTCATATGTAAAAATATTATAAAGTAGGGGGGGAAAGAACTGCTCCCTGGGGGACGCCAGCTGTGATGGGTCGCGTGGAGGAGTGCGTATTGCGAATTTTGATAGGTAAATGTGCGATTTCTAAGATAGGAAGCTATTAAGTCGAATAAGATGATCTGGGAAAGTCCAATTTGATAAGTTTGTAAATGAGACCTTTGTGCCATACTCTGTCAAAGGCTTTTGACACGTCTAAGAAAATTGCTCCAGTGGGAATTTTGGCATTGAAACCATCTGTGAATATAATTGATGACTCTTAGAAGCTGATGCGTAGTGCTGTGTGAATGACGAAAACCAAACTGTTCTGAGGGTGTGTAAGGGCTGACTGGAATGTTTTTGTGAATGATAATACAAAATAATTTTTTCCGTGATTTTAGATAGGCTGCTTAAGCAGGCTTATTGGCCTGTAGTTCTGTGGAAATGTATTATTTGCTTTGGGTTTTGGGAATACTATGATAGATGCATTTTTTCCAGGCTGATGGGAAATATGAGTATTTGATAATAGCATTGATGAGTTTAGTAAGATAAGTAATCCCATTTATGGGGAGATTTTTAATGCTTTGTTTGGGATCCTGTCTTGGCCAGAGGCCTTTCTTATTTTTAAGTGCACTGATAAATTGAGCAACAAGTGTTGGTGTGGCAAGAAAGGTGAAATTTAGTGGAGCCGGAATGCCAAGATAGTTATCAACCACTGTGTTGACGTGATGCAATATGATCATTGTCATAAGGGGCTGGATTTGGAGTAAAAGAGTCTTGAATGACATCTGCAATTGTGTTGGCTTTGTCTAAGGTCAGAGTAAGCCATTCCCGACGGTCTATGTAAGGGGGGATTTGCTTATAGAGGTTTTTGAGTTTACGAGAGATGTCGTACAGTGAGTATCTTCATTATGGCTAATGTATTTAGAAAATTTGTCCATTTGCTGTTTCTATACTCCTCGATTGCTCTTTTGATGCTATTTTGAAGTGAGTTGAGTCTGCGTTTGGCCTGAGGGTCTCGGGTGTTTTGCCAATGTTTGCGTACTCTGTTTTTTATGATTATCTGCTCCCTTATGTTACGTGGAAGGGGTGGGAAACGCCTATTGAAATAGAATTTATTTGTAGCATCATTAATAGGCTGCTTTAATCTGATTGGTGAATTTCTCAACTTCCTTATTAATATCCTCTTTATTATTAATGAGGGGGTTGCCTGGGACTGTACTGGAAATAATATTGGTAAATTTGGGCTAGTTTGTAACACCAACTGAGCGTAGTAGTGAAGGGGGGGTAGTAGTCAAAGCATTTGTAAATATTTTCATTAATACTGGATTGTGATCTGAAAAGAGTGCTGGGATTGAGGCAATTTCGTGCTGGTATGGAAAATCCCTTGCGATGAAGAAATCAATGATTGTCGATTTGTTTAGGGAGAAATGCGTGGGTTCATCTGGTGCTAGCAGTGAGTAACGATTTTGATTAATGAGATCAAAAAGTAAGTTGCCGTTCCTGTTTGCTCGACCAGGATTCCAGCTAGGGTGTTTTGCATTATAATCACCTTCTACTATTGATTTGGGGTGTGAAGTGAGCAGGCTATTGAGTTCTGTGATGTTTAGGTGATTTGTGGGTGGTATGTAAATATTGGTAATTGCAAGTGAGGTATTGTCAATTGTGATAATGACATTGACGTTTTCAAAGCTGTTTGTGAGCACTGGCTTGTGGAAGTGTGAGATACTGCTTTTAACATACGTGATGACCCCGCCACCTCGTCCTGAGAGTCTATCACATCTGTAGGCAAAGTGATTTGGATAGAGCACCGTTCTGGCTGGCTTGAGGTGAGTTTCTTGCAATAAGATTACATCCGGCTCGAGTTCTAGTATGAGATCGTTTAGTTCATCTTTTCTGGAAAAAAGTAGATTGGCATTCCAAGTGAGAATGCTGTAGTATCTGCTATTATTTGCAGAAGGAGAGTTAAATGTAACTAGTGATTTTTTCAATAATGTCCACAATTATTTCTATTTTGTCAAATATTGAAGTTTTTTGTTTAATTGTTTTTATTCCATTTTTAATGTCATTCCATATGACTTTTAGGGACTTGAGACTGAGGAGATCATCAGAGTTTTGCACTAACTCTGAGGTTTCTGTCTGGGCGGCAGCAGCTGGTTCTGTGAGTGGCGGGAAATTTTCTGTATTGTTTATCCAGGGGTTATTGGCAGGCGGCTGACTTGGGATGAATTTGTCGGTTTTCCTTTTTATTTTAGGTATAGCCGGGCAACCGGAAAAGGACGCAGGATGCGGCCCCCCGCAGTGACAGCACCTTGCTGGGTCTTCTGGTTTTAACTTTACATTCGCCGGACGTCGAACGATGTGGGCCCCCACATCTCACACACACCCATTCTCTTGTGCATAATAATGAGTTGTGAAAAAAACCCCTGGCACCTATAGCACTGTGGAGGTCCTGGTTTTCTTTTAAGTGCCTCTACAGGTAACTCTGAGATAGCCGAATGTAAGTGAGGTTGTGAAATGGTTTTATTTTGCTCGTTTCTTCGGCAAATGCACTAGAAAGAGCGGCATTGGTTTGTTTTCACGTCTATTTCTAAGATTTAGTTATGTAGGTAACTCCATATCCTTGATTTTCTTAATTCTTGTACTATGTACTGATGGTCCATAGTTAACAGGCAAGTCCTCGTATGACAATTTTTAAAACCTTTTCATCCTTGAAGTTGGTAGGTATGAGATTTTAACTTTTTTTCCTTAATGACTTCTCTCACATATCTGTGAGCATCTGCATCAGGGAGAGTCACATGCAATTTGGTGCCTTTTAATTGGCCTGTAATTGTTTTCCCTGTCTTGAACACTGAAGCTCGGCCAGGAATTTATCAGCTTGAGGGACATTGAGGGACATCATCTATAATAATTGGCGGGACTCTGATTTTTTCTACTGTTCGAGGGCTCAGGGGCCGCCGGATTATGTGTACCCTCACTTTCATTATCCATTTTTTCCTCATTATTGTCTATATTAATTTCACTCATTTCTGTTTCAAGTCCACTGTATCTGTTAGCGGTTTTAATGGCAGGTTCAAGTTGTTCTGTGTCGGAGTTTGTAGAAGCCGAAGAACGGCGCCTATGTCTTTTACGTTGCTCCTTAAATGGTTCTCCATGTAAGGCGTTCATTAAGTGATCGACTTTTTGTTCCAATTCTTTAATTTTCAGGTCACGATATTCAATTTCAGTAATTGCTTGGTTTTCTTCTAATACACGTGTTTTGTTTAAGATGCATATTAGAAAGTGTTGCAGTCTATGTGAAGCATGATAAGTAATTGTTTCACTAGTTTAATATGTCTTGAGCTAGTGCAGAGAGTCTAGCGCATTCCTCAACAGTGGAGAGGATGTGTAATTGTTTTTCCAAGTTAATAAACTGATCAGTTTCTGCTTCATTTTGGAAAAGCTTTTTCCTTTCTTCCGGATAAGCAATGATCTTTTGAAATTGGTGAGCTAGGTGGTGAGTGCGACATTTTTATCTCTATTCTTTTCTGGGCTGATATCTGGTGGAATTGCAGCAGAATCCTTAAAATGATCTGTCATTGTGTATCATGTAATACTCAAAAAGAGTATCGACCGCAGGAACAGGAGAAAAAAAAACAAAAAAAAAATCGAAGAGCCACTTTGCCCGCACCGCGCGCTATGAACCGCCATTGATGAACAGTGTTAAACGAATGTCGCATCTCGCAGCCAGAAAATTTGGCGTAATATTATGTTGGCGCGATTGAAAAGAATAAATACGGAGTGTAGAGTACCGCATCTGATTGTAAACAAATCCGGCGTTTAAGTCTTCGTAGAGTATATGTGCAATGTAAAGTAATTACTGTGTAAAATTAGATTTTTTTCCTGTACTGCTCCAACAACTGGAAAGTTGAACGATACGATCAAGTTTAAATTCGATTGAAGAGTGCACAAAATGGGTAAAGGAAGTAGCGTAAATACAGATGCTCCAGTGGATAGCGCGAGCTTCAAACCAAATGCTATTTCGAGATTGCTTTCAGGTATGTATATATTTTCCCATTTCAGTAAATTTGATATGTTATATGTGCAATATGTGATATATTGTATTTTAACACATATACAGTTCATTAACATTTTTTAACATTTCCTAAATTTCTATATAATGTAGCATTAAGAAAGATGTTTTAAGAAATTTGTTTCCTTACTGTTTTAATTTTTTCGAAAAGAAACATCATTTTCGAGAAACTTTCAAGAAGAAAGTTATTAGCGTAATTTTATTACAGCTAAAACTGATGCAAGGTACTTGAGTCTTTTATCTCAAAATGTGCTGAAATGTTTTGGTTGAAGTTAATATAAAATAATGTAATGAATTGTGGTATAATAACTGTAAAGAATTGGTAAAAATAAAATATAATTAGCTCAAATTTACTTAACTCCTTATATTATCAAATATCTATTGAATAAAAAAACCTGTTGAAATATTAAATGTAACAAGTTCTATTTTTAAAAGGCAGATGATTGTACAGCATGTAGGAATTGATGATGATTTTTAATAATCCTAAAGTAATAGTAAAGTCAACAATAAAGTATATTTTGATGTATATAATTTTCATCAATGATTACATAAAATTGCACTTTGATATAAAGTATGCTTGGATTGTTTTCATGTATGCTATATATTATTGCAAATTAGTTCTTCATAAAATTGTATATTTCTGCTGTGAAAAAGTATGTATGCAATCATGCAAGTTGTAGGAAAACATGTACGTGTACTGCACATGTACCAGGACGACAAGATAACAATTATGACTGTCAATCATCATTTGCTGACTGTATCTGTCAAGCTGACTACACAGACTATAGTAGCCAAAGATAAGTTGTAGAAAGTGTGTTTCAGAGTTGAATATATGAATTAAAGTTAGTAGGATAATTATTCTTAACTAAATAATAAAATTTAAATAAAACCCCTTATTTCATTTTTTATAAATTCTCTTATTATTATGATGTGATTTCACAACCATTGACCCTCTCCTATTGTTAAATAATTCATTCAGCACTGAACAACATATTATTTTATTGGTATAAAAAATAATATATTTTGTGTGTATGACCAAGTTATGATCTAAGATTTTTCAATACTTGAATCATCCTTTTAAAGATTTTTTTAAAATGATTTTTTTAATTTCAGGCATTGGCACAGTGAATGGCAGCTGAAAAATTTTGACCCTTGTTTCTGGAAGTGAAATGTTAGATGTAAGTAATGATGTCTGAGACCCTTATCACACGGCATTTGTTTCACATGAACAACTTGTTTCGGACAATTTTTCTGCCTGGTTTACTATTGAAAGAAAGACATGCAACGTTTTCCTTCCTTTCTAAAAAAATTGCAAATTGTTCGTTTTCAATCAATCAACTATCAGCTTGTTTGTAATGGGGAACCAGTTTCCCATGTTAACCCCAAAGTGATCTATGATAATTGGCTGTTGTGACAAAGCAGAAAAATTTGGCCAAACAGTTATTCTTCCGAAACAAACTGACGTGTGATAGCATCCTTACTGTTAATAATACTGTGAAGCACTTAATTGTATGCTTTGCTAATGAATATGTACTAAGGCAATTGTGGTTATTATGAAAGAGGTGAAATTTCAAATACAATTGTTTCAGTTACAATTATTACAGATATTATTTAATTTTGTAATAATGCTAATTAAAAATATGAATTAAGAAAATGCAAAAATTAGTGTATAAGCATACTAAATAGTTCAGAGTAAGACTTGTACTTAATTTATAGTACGCACTCATTCACACATATGATGACTCGTACACTGATATAAATTTGATATGCTTTTATACTGTTTACAGGTCTTCTATATTCAGATTTGAATCATCATCTGCCAACAAATTCAGTTAATCAGGCATTGTTGACCTTATTAGTTTCTTGCAGATGTGTGAACTTTGGAAACATTTTTATATTTAGTATAGTTTATGTTTGCTTTTCAGGTTTTCACATAATATCAACTAGAAACATTACCTCTTCATTTTAAAGGTCAAAGGGATAAAATAAAAAAAATAAAAAAAAAAAAAAACAATTAATTAGTTAATATCAAACCTAAAATGTTCTTTTATTACACAACTATTATTTAAGCCATCCAAATGGGCGCAATATTTTTATAATACTTTTATTTAATTTTCCAGTATATGTTATTGAAGCCATTCAAATCCCACTTGGGCATTTTCAAGCATATTAGTTGTTGAATATTATGTCTGACTGTAAACACACAGGCAAAGTATGTATAATTATTATGTAATTTAACCTATCTTTCCTTCAAAATATTTCTTTAAAATTACACGGGAGACAGGCATACATTTGAGCTTTGATTAACAGACTTAGTGTAGTCGCCATGACGGATAAGAAAACAGATGAATAATAGACCACCCATAATCACCAACATATAATGCAAGGATTTGAGAATAAAGATTGCTTATTAGCATAATAGTGCACTGAATATTAGACATAAAAATTATAGAACTGAAAGATTTGTCACGTATCATCTTTGCTTATTATTATATATATTGAAAATAAAGTTTGCTTCTGCAACAGAATAAATATCGAGTGTCTTGAAATGTTTTGTATACCTGGTACAGTTCAGTACATTATACAAAGAGCAGTATATATAATGATTATCAGGTCTGTACAGAAATTTTTAATGGAAAATTCTTGTGTATAGATTTAGTTGATATTTCTTATCTTGTGTACAGATTTAGTTGATATTTTGCAAGACATGGCAATATTTCAGACTTTTATTGTAATTACTGTGACAAAACAATCATTAGAAAATTATACACGTATGAAAATTATTAATATTACATTATGTAGCTTATATTAATAATTTTCATACGTGTATATGTAATATTTTGGCAGGCACAGGAATGACCAAAGCTTGACAATATAACTACATCATAGGCCAGGCATTGTTATGGCTGGATAGAAGGTTGCAAAATGACGACAAAGAAGGATTTAGCTTTTTAGATCCCACATCTTTATTCAATTCTCTCAGCAGATCATTTTGCCTTTAGATGAAATTCTCAAAATTATATATTCAATATTGATTTAAACTAAGTAAGATTAAATTTAGACTTTACGTCATATCTGCTTTAACAAAGGAAAGAACAAGATGGGAGGAGCAGCTGCAAGGTCTTGTAGCAGCGGTAGAAGAAAGCAGTCTGACGAAAAATGGCACGTATTCAGTATGTGTACTAGCGGTTATATAACATGCCAGAATGTTCTCGAAAGTACTGGTCTAGGATAAGATCCTGAAACTGCAGTAAGTTAATTATAGGTTGCATGCTCGCGCAGAGCAAAGCCACTGTATTTTCTATATTTTACATGTATATAATACATATTCTTTGTGTCTTGGTGAATACATTCTACCTCGCTGGCAGGTAACAGAAACTGACGATCAAAAGATTGATGAATATTTAATAATTTTGATGAGATTATCTAGGAAAGTAAAATAGTTTAAAACGTATTAAATATGGTTTTCCAGAATGTTTTCCTAGCATAGTTTTTAAATCTCAGACTAAATGATACACATTATCTGGAAGTTCATATTCTTGTGTCATAAAGTATGCTTTATTGTAATTAGTCTTAGATTGTAAAGTTAAATTTATGAAAATATGATGAGTTAAAAATGTATTGCAGATATTAAACTAGATTTTTTATATGCAATTTTGAAATTTTAGAGATCTTGCTTCATGTAATTATTTTTAATGTTTTTATTAAATTCTTAATTAATGCTATTATGCATGCATTAGAAAGTGAAATGAAATAATACTTAGGGATATCATTTGGCTGCATTCTGTTGTTTCTCAGTTAAACTATTCTGCATTCAAAAAATTACTCAAGGATTCTCACGAATACCAGCTCAAACAGTTCCAAAGTATTTCTGCAAAATATACGTAATTACTTAAGAATTGTATCTTTTTGATAATATTATTTAGCCTTTACAAGTTACTGCCAAAATTATTTTGTAAATCAGAAATCTTCGAGGGGATTAGTGTGTCTCGCATAGTTTACCCTGGTGCCACACTATAACACTGAAATTGATAGATGTATAATTGAATGTTTAATCAAAAATGTCTAATTCCTCTTTTATGATATTTCAATAATTGATACTACTGAAACAAGAAATATTGGTACATTAACATTTTCTTAATATTCATTGTGTATTTGTTATGATGCATGTATTAATGTCATTACAAGTTAGCATTTGATAATGTTTGTTTCAACAATTTAGGGTTTGATGAAGTGCCACAGAGATTATCGCTTAAAGAATGCGTGCAGGCCAACCACCAACACAAGATATTAAAAGAGCAATGAAAATGAAGATTTAACTATAAAGAAAAATCTGACTAATATTATTACTCATAACACTTAATTGTTTCGTATTATTGTAAATTTATGCGAGTTTTCCTGTATTCTGTTTATTTTGCAACTTATGTTATTGTAAATTCATGTATGTTTTCATTCTTGCTCTGTCATGCATTTCATACTAATTGTTTGTTGTGCATATTAATTATATGTGTATATTACTTCATTGAATTACTGTATTTGAATTTTAATAAACCTTTTTACCATTCAGTAGTACTTTTCCATAAAACCCTGAACATTCTAAACATCCCATATCACTAATCCTCAATTCTAAATAATACTTGAGTTTACTTAATTCATGTATTAATAACGAATTTGAAAAATAATACAATAGTGACATATTTTGAGGTAAAATAAATACTGCTCAATTGGACATTTTAAAATGTTTTTTCCTTTTAATAGAGGAACATTTTTTAAGGATTTAATTATTAGTATTTGAATATTGTATTAATATATGATTAATTAGTATATGAATATACTGTGTGTAATGAATAAGTAAGGCAGTGAATAAATTTTGAACAATAATTTCATATGAAGAAATATGATCTGCCTGGGTTAAAAAATTAATCTTTAAATCCTATTTATGAGATTATATGGCTGAATCTGTAGCCCAAAAGCAGTTAAAGCAACCCCCCCCCCCCCCAAAAAAGAAGACATTTTAAATAGTTTCTCTCCAAAACTTGAAATATTTAAACATTACACGACCCTAAATTTCTAGTGAATTTAAAATACTCATTTCATTCAGTTCAGCTACTAGCCATTATATGAAATTTTCCTATATTATTAAAATGTTCCTCATGATTTTGCAAGGTGAAGACCACAAATGTTCTGCCCTCATAACTAATGATGATATAATCAGCATGAAGTAGACTTCAGCGTAAGGAATATGGAACTATATTTTGCTCTTTGTTTATTAATTAGCTCACTTTTAAAAAAAATTCATATCATATAGTAAGTAGTATTCATAATTTTTCTCATTTTCTTAATATTTCATTGAAGTATTTAAATGTTAATTTAATTAGCAATACCTAATAATGTCAAATGCATATATTATTATACAGAATGGGATTCTGACCATAACACTCAGGCAAAGTGATATACATGTTAATTTTTCAACAAGTTTCTGCGTTATGCTTTTTACTCTCTACACAATGTTTAATTTTTAATTATTATTTTTTATTATTTGTAGGACCTTAGGTCCTACAAATAATAAAAAATAATAGTAATACCAGAAAGTGTGACTTTCTTATATTATCCAACAGGAGACCTATGTTCACATCTTATATTTTGAATTTACAGTTTTCTTTTGTAGATGACAGACACCATATATTCAAAAGAAATTAACATGCTGCTGGATATATGCATGTGTTTTTCATATTTACAGCTGTTGCATGTGATGTTATGTAATCGGGTAAAAAATGAAAGAATTAAGTTTATTGACACCAAAACAAATGCATACTTCGATATAAAGGCTGCATAAAAATGAAAATGGCTAAATTAAAATAGTGAATTGAGGTTGTAGAGTTCTCATTTATTTTTTTTAACCAGCTATTTTATGATAATTAGCTTTTCTTTCTTCCTTTCCATTTTCCTGCCAGGATGCTAATTTTGAGTGTATTCAAATGAGGTGAATTCATTTCGTTACTTTTGATTTACGCCATAAATGCTAGCTGATTCTGTATGAACAAGCTGTGCACTCTGTTAATTTGTCCGAGTCTATAAAAGGTTTTTTTTTTACACCTATTCCAAACCTCTGTTGTAATTTCCAAAACATAACGAGAAGTCGCTTAAGTTTTCCAGAGTTCTCACACAGTATATATTACCAAAGTGGGTGAAACTCGTATAAGGTGTAAGAAAGACCAAAAGGAGATTTATTAAATCAAGAAAAGTAATCGGTGGAAAAGGCATTTAATTTTAATAATGAAAAATCGAATTTTACACCAAATATTCAGACTTTTGTAACTGTTTTATATTTAATTAGCGAGAGTTTAAAAATAAAAATTACCTTTATATTCATAACATAGGTTACATTCTGTTAATTTCCCATAAATAAACATAAAGAATACATTGACAAAATCATTGTACTAAGCTATTTTCATTGTACTTCAAATTTAGGTTGTTTTCATGAAATTCTTTTATTAAACATTAACTTATACTTGATAATCAATCTTCAAGTTCGAAAATAAGTTAACTGTAATTGCATTTGTTTTATGATCAAATATTTTAATTTGGCATTTGAGCATTTCTAATGGCATTTCTTTTTCTGTTTGACATCTCTGCTCTGTTAAGGTTATAACCAGTTAAATTGTTACTGTGTCTCTGAAAAATCAACAGCATTCTTAAACACCATTTTAAAAATATTTCTGTGTGTGTAGTATTTATCAGTAGAATTTTTCCTAAATAAATACAGAAGTTGTTATGAAAACATTTGAGAGTACATGTCTTGAAAGAGAAACAGTATTCGTAGTGTTTAGTCAATTATGATATATTAACAGCTATCATAACTTTGCATGTATGTTGTATGCATTATACATATATATATGCATAAAGACCCAATTTTGGCAATAAGTAGAGCTGTTACAAAATAATCATGAAGTCTAATGGAACGTACTCGTCACACATACTGGGGAGGAATCAAATTTATGTACGTATTTGCCACTCTTAAAGAATTTTTGGGGGGAATTACAAATGTACCAATTTCTTATTAATATATAATTTGTTAATATTAAAGAAAAATTTATTTCTTAACTTAACTAAGCCAGCTAAGTCATAGACCGAAATATGTGTTTCTGCAGATATTCAGAACTTCCGGAACTACGAATACATTCACAGTTACAAAATATGTAAAATATATTTCTTTTTTAAATGCTTGGAATATTCGGAAAAATATCTAAATTCAAAGAAATGGTAAAATATGTTTCACTTGCAGATTCTTTGTTATTTATTTGATTATATCACACCATTAATAACAATGTTCACCCCCCCAGAATAAAAAATATATTGTTTTTATGTACTGAAGTCTTGGTTTGTTTCCCTTGACAAGTCAATTAATCTATCATCAATGACAATAGCTACCTTTTAAATACTTTTAATTTTGGCACTTAAAATGTTTGCATTTCAAAATAATATTTCTATGCAGCTTTTAAATAATTTTTAATGCAACAGAAATCTAAATAACTTCAAATGCTGTCTAAAATTCATTCCAATAATTCATCGCTTTAAATTTCTGTTCCTTGCAGATGATACAGGAAAAACCTTTTCTAATAATATATTTCTAATTCTACCAGGAATTATTGATAAATAACCCGATGAAAAAATTGATACAGGCATAGATGGAGAAGATGTAAATAATTATTACGAAATAATGTGAAGCAGTGTTTGCATTCAAAATGTAAGATGTTATACTTATGGTGTGGTGGTGTATTTAATTATGGCAAAGCGCACGAGGGCTATCTGCCTAAAGGGAGGGGTGCCTTTCGTGGAGGACTTTCTAAGGGAAACTGGCTCGTATACACGTTACACATGGGGAAAACCACGAAAACGCCCATGCAGCCAGCCCGTTCGCGGGATTCGAACCTCAGACCGAACTACCAGTGTTCAGCGTCTTTACCGCTCGGCCGCTGGTGGGCCTTTGTTATACTTATGAAATTCTGCACTTCACTTTGGAACTGTACGAATTTTCGCTCAGAAAAAAAGACTGAAATTCAGGATATATTAGTTGAAAATTTATACACTTTTAAGAAATAAAAACAATTCAGAATTTACCATACGTTACATTCGTACATACGCAAAGAAACACGGACATACGTAAAAAATATAGCAAGTGTTTGCAAATAACATTGAAGAAATTTTACAATTCCTTAATGCTGTTTATTTAATTCTTTTAAATAAGAAATAAAAGCGCGAATATATGTTAACAAACTAAGCGGGAAAATTCAGTTTACATTACTGAGAATTACAACACGTAAACAAATTACATCTAAATAATGAATTATTAAGCACAATATATGGTAAGAATTATTAAATGCACTGTTAGACAAATTAAAATGAAACATATATTAGAAAAATAAGCAAGTGCAATCGGTATGAACGTTAAAATAACTAATAAACAAAGTTCCACAACATTGCAGTTGTACACATCACTCGACAGCCATGGAGATCACGAATGAGCTAGCGTAGGGTTTAGTCGCCAATATTTCTTCCCGCGTCAAAGGTACACCATCAAGCATGCGCAGTAAGCGAAATTCGCTTAACACTGTTCAACTCAATGTGCGGTCTGCCATTACGCGCACCGCGCCGGGTGTGTAATAGGTGGAATCTCCGATGGATACAACCAGTGCCTCTGTCAAGCGCCGACACGCAAGCTTGGAGGGTACTCTGGTTGTAGAACGACCTAAAATTCGAAATTACTTCTTGTTAATCACAAGAAATTATTTGCACCAAGATACTCCGTGCTATAAGCAATATATGGCACAATAGTTTCGTCGATACCAAGGTAGCCGCGTATTAGTCCTAACCACTCCACGAGGGGACAAAGCACCTTCACGCTGGGATGTTCTTCTGGGGTGATTTTTGGGTTCCTGAAAAAGCTCAGTAAAACGCAATAAAAACCTACGAGAAAGACTTAACTGTCCGCCTATGGAACTGGGACAGTTCGCAGCGAAAGAATCAGAGGAGCTCAACGTGCGTGTTACTCGCTTGACAGCTCGGAATGTAATGTCCAAAAAGATTATGGATCCGTAACAGCGTAAATCCGTTTTCGAGATTTCTATGAGATCCTTTTTAGCGTCAAAAAGAGATTTGAGGATACTATCTTCCAGCAAATCAAATAACTCCATTTGTAGTTCCGTAGGAGCTTTGGATATATCTACTAAATGTGGTTCAAATGCCAGTTTCATAGCAGAAGTGCACTTGTCAAAATCTGAAAATCTTTAAGTATATTTTCTATTAACAAAATCCAAGCCACTTACATATTCAGCAAATGTTTTATTTTTTACATTTTTGCTCATTCAACATCTTTGATAGTTCCTGGAAATGTTCTGCAGATATATATGTTAGAATAGAAGGAGGGAAGGTTGAACGCAAACCGTGAATCCTCGGCGCCATGTTACTGCAACTGCTGTGACTCGTGCAATGACGTTTGTCATTCTAACAATTTCTTTTTTGTAATTTTTGAAGCGTGGGACCTTGTGTTGCATATGGATGAACTA